GGGGGAAGGCGGGGAAGAAGAGAGCAACAGACTCACCGCTGAGTGAACTGTTTCCCCAGAGTTGATCATCCTTGGCGCCTTTTTTTTCCCTGGTCTTTTTCCTTCAACGCAACAGCGCACTATTCTCCTCCCTTCCTCCTCCCTTGTGCGCTCTCCTCCTCTCCTCTTCTCCTCTCCTCTCCTCTCCTCCCTCTCCCTCCCTTTCCCCTTCCTCTCGCCTTATCTGGCTTTATAGCATACTCACACTGATACTTCCCTCAATGTATCCGACTGCAATTACTGCCAAACCTGGATGAATCTGACCGCAATCACATCCAGAGAGGAGTCAAAAAAGTCCCAAGTGAGCGTATGTTGCCGTTACTGTCCTCCCCTCCCCTACACCTCCTCGTTCATCCCTCCGCTCACCCGCTCCTTAACAGGTCCCCCCTCCTTTCTCCTCTCGCGGCTGCGCCGCTGAGCGACCCTCACTGCTCCGATGAGATTGCGCACAGTGTTTCTCTCTCCACCAGCCGCCAACGATCACAGGCTATAGGACACGTGGCACGTCTCTCCGACCGCCACGTGGAAACCACGTACGCAGCCACGTGTGGTGTCGACTCTCGACGGCACTCCAGCACAGCTGCCTCCGCGCCGTCCCACCCAAGACAGATAGCAGCCGTAGTCGGCGCCTCCCTCCCCCAGCAGATCACCGACTACTTCCTTCTCTGCAGTTTGCTGCCGCTGGGAGACCCGCTTTAGCAGGACTCTAAATTTCTGAGGGCCTACCACTACTCCCCAGCCGCCAACATTTTGAATGCATCTGGACAGCCTCGTTGTCCCGATGCATTCAACCGGCAGATCACCGACCGCTTCCTTCTCTGCCGTCTCCTGCCGCGGGGAGGCCTCACTTATACCTGAGGACAGTTTCTAAGAGCAGGAGACTTTAGGACTCTTCCTTTCTGAGGGCCTACCGGTAGTTGCACCACTCGCCATCCGCCAACATTTTCAATACATCTGGACGGCAACGCTTTCCAGATGCATGCGTTCAAAATCTTGGCCGTTGGCGGGTTTACAAAGATCAACGGTCAGAACTGATGAGTTCGGGTTAAGTTTTGAGACCCGAGCCCCGCCGTCCTGCAGGCCTGCCAGTTAGCTGCTCTCCTCTACAAAAATGGTGATTGCATTTTTTTTATTTATTTGTTTTTTCTATACAAAAAAACAACGGGCGACGGCCTCGAGATGTTATCATTGAGCTGAACGCCCCCAAAATGTTCATTAGTACCGGCCCCAATATATGCATTAGTACCTGATTTTACTTGTCACGTTTCATCATCGGGATATAAACACAGATCTGTATTTCAACAGTTCATCGGTGTACCCACCCAGCAGGCTCTTGGGTGGGTGAGTGTATTTGCTGCAGAACATGAAAACTATGTTGCCCAGTTTCGCCGTTATCACATCAGGCGAGTGGCTGGTGCAGGTGCTCCTACAGGGGCTAGGTCCCACTACTGACCGTCGATAGCAAAGATCAACGGCCGAGATCTCCTAATTTGCGCAAGTGGGACCTTGCCCCAGGTAGGCCTCCCATCCTCGGAGCGGAATAGAACTGGTGCAGTGCCAATGTAGTGGTGAAAAAGTGCTACGAAGATTTCAGCGACCCTGGCGGGGTGGAAAAGAGAAATTGGATCCCACAGCGCCGAGTTCTTTGGTGGTCCTCCAGGACCTGCGGCGACTCTTTATGGGCGCCAGTTCAAGGCGGACGGTTTTGTGGCATGGGTTGCCCCAGGTTCACGGACCTCGGACATTCCAACCTCTACAAACGAACAGGGAAATTTGGTTTTGGTGGGAGAGGCGCACGACCGGCGCAGAGCGCTCTGCCGTAGCGCTGTCGGTTCAGGAGAACCGGCCTTCCCAGCCATCACCCCGGCACGCAGCCGGGAGAAGTGGCCATCGCCACCCACCCCGCCTAGCACCATAGCTAGGCCAACCCACTACCATCGTAGCAGGGGGGGTATGGGAGCAAGTGGGAAGTCAGCACATGGATGAAATAGATTCTTTACAATGCGGAATAGGACAGGCAATCTCTTGCCCTGTCCAAGATGCGTACCAGGAGAGCCTAAGTATGTTTGCAGCTCCCGCCCCACTTAGGGCAGGATATTGACGAAGCCAGCCGGAGTGACAGCGCCCGGGCTAATGGTAAGACTCCAGGAAGCCGGAATCCCTTCCCTCACCTTCGCCTAGTCCACCTGGCCCTCGCACGCTCCAACAATCCCTTTTCCCCACTCTTCCACCTCACGACAGCTCCCGACTTTCCTTCGTGTCAATGCAAGCCAGCCACCTCACTCGCTAGAACATACCTGACACATCCATTCATCCACCACAGCACTAAGCACAAGTCAAGACTCCCCTTCATCTAAACTAGTATATAAACATACAACTACTAGACTTCACACGATAAACGACCCTACCTATTAATTCACCCTTGCCCGCAATCCTCTTTCCTCTATCCCAGAATCCCCACGCCAAAACACTACTCACACCGCATGCGCCCTCCCCCACAGCCAACGAAATCCTTTCTGCGCCGTCAACGTCTACGCACCACACCCTCCCTAGCATACTAATATACGCCGATAACCCCTTCACGGTACAACCCTCTCGATCCCCTTCTCCTCCTCTCCCCTATCGGTCTTTCTCCCTCTTTCTCCATCACGAGGAGCATAACGAGGAACGTCCTTTAGCTGGCTTTCGATTCAGGACTGCAGCTGTAGTCACCACATGAGAGAAAAAACGGGATCGCATCTTGCCGATCACCTCGTCTAGATGCATCTACCACTCTCCCTCTTCCTTACCGTCCTTCGCAGGAGTTAGCTGCTAGATCGCCTGACCGCTCCTTTTCTGGCTCAGATCCGAATTCGGCAATACCCACAAGCACAAGTGAAAAGAAAAAGGGGGAGGGAAACAAGGAAGGGGAGGGAGTGTGGGAAGGGGAGAGAAGGGGTGCGTTCAACCCCTGCAATTCGATCCCCTTCTCCTCCTTTTCCCTTATCGGTCTTTCTCCCTCTTTCTCCATCACGAGGAGCATAAGGAGGAACGTCCTTTAGCTGGCTTTCGATTCAGGATTGTGGATGTAGTCACCACATGAGGGAAAGAACGGGATCGCATCTTGCCGATCACCTCATCTAGATGCATCTACCACTCTCCCTCTTCCTTACCGTCCTTCGCAGGAGATAGATGCTAGATCGCCTAACTGCTCCTATTTTGGCTCAGATCCGAATTTGGCAATACCCACAAGCATAAGTGAAAACGCCTTTTCGAACCTGCCACACGGGAACCCTAGGAGAAACTGTCTGAACGACCTCACTTGTTAGGCTTCGTTTGCAAAATGGGCAAGGCCGCCGGAAGGACTCCATCCCGAGGGCAAGCGGATACATGTTGAGCCAACTCTGGTCAGATCGAGTGGCCATAGTAGCAACCTCTAAGGAACCCCACTTAAGGACCGGGCGATTACTGCTCAGCGGTGGAAACATAAATAGCGAGAGTATAGTCCCAGACATCGGATTGCGCCTGTTCATCTGACACATTGATAGCAAGTAGCAATCGGTGAGCAGGGCTCGGTCAAAATGCAAGCTACCAACCACAGTCACGAGGGAGATCCCTCAAACACTCGAAATGGTCCCCAAGGGGGGGCTGCTCTCACAGCAGACGAAGCACGAATACGAGCATTGTTGGACGCCTGCTATGATGATGGAGTTTTCCCAGATACCACTTTCCCCCACGGGGAGGTGGAGATTGTAGACGGAGTGGGCTACTTCAACTTAAATGATGACGTCCATACCACGCCCGTAGCATGGCTCAAGGAGCGTACGGTAATTGTTATATTCGATACACACAAACGGACAAGCAAAAAATATGAAGAAAGAAAAACGAAATTGCTCTCTTTTTTGAGGCCGTGAAGCCCTCAGTGTCTCTTTTTTAGGCCGTGAAGCCCTCACAGTCATGCAAAATATTTCGGCGGCCACGACCACGTCGGAAAGCCGTGGGATCTCAAAACTACACTGTACTTGGGCTGTAGTGTAGTGGTGGGATCAGACCTTTAGCCCATGCAAATGGGACATTGTCCCCAGTGTTCGGTCTGCCGGTTTAGGGTCAGATCCCATACTCCTTACCGTAAGTAAAAAGTCGTGTTTTGCAGGATCCCACATGATTCCGCAGACTAGGGCGACAACAACAACTTAGGAGGCAAGTAGAAACGTTTGGAGTCGTGGCGAGCAGGGAATGATCGACGCTGAAAAAAATTGAGGGAAAATGGAAGAGAACCGGGCCCGTACCCTGCAGCGAAAAAGAAGGCAAATTTTTTTTTTTCCGTTTGGTTGACGTGGTTTGTCCATGGTCCGCTTGGTGTGTGACACGGCGGGCACCAGCAGGGCTGCAGGAAAGTTGGCCCTTTTGGATTGTGCGAGTAGTCCCGTGGGGACAACATCGAAAGTCGGCGGCGGTACCACCTCACGGAAGTAGGAAGGTTGCCCGCCTCGCAACTACAAGCCCGCAAACGCCCCCCTCTTCTCTTCGAACTCTGTTCGGACGCTGGTTTTTCCGCCGGCTGCCATCAACTCTTCCACGCAATTGCACCACGTGTTTGGTGCCTTCTTCGCGTCTCTCTCGACTTTCCTTGTACCGGATGTCTGTGGTTGCCATCGTCGTCAACTGGCCGCACTTCGTTGTCGCCGCCAAGTGGTCTATGTCCGTGTCGAAGTAGTGTGGCGTCTAGCCCTGATGTGGCTTCCGCTGTAGTTCGTCGACACACCCGTCACGCAACTTTTTCCAGCACGCACAACCGATTCGTTCACTGTGTCGGTGCGAATACCCTTACACGGGTATCCGCCTGGTTTTTGCAAGCGACAAAAAATAAGTTTGGTTTAAGTACGTTGATTGAATGGTTGACTAGATTAGAGAGTGTGTGGGCACGCAGATTCAAGGCGCGCGTGATCTCTTTTATTGTTGATGATTGTAGAGTCGGCGGTGTGCCGGCCAAATTTTTTGTTATGATTAAACTAAGATTAAAAGGTTGTCTGATGATTGGAATGCTTGAGCGCGGCATCTACATATGTACGGAGGACGACATCGACAACAATGTGGCTTTGAAGTGTTTTTAGTAAGGTGACCTCGTTGCGCGCTTATATAGGTGTCCGCTATTACTACCTTCTTAACCCGAAAAAAGTGTACCTACCTTGTATACGAATACAACATACGGGGTACATTGTATTTAAATACAATGTTCATACGTTATAGAACTAGTTTTAGGATACAACTTTTCATAAGTTTGTAGTACATCCGTTGTTTTTTTTTTATCTCAAATTTGGTTTGGAATTTTACCTAGACCCTCAGGCAAAAGTTGTTTGCATTGCAATTTTGTACAACATACTTTTGTTTCAATTTTTTTAATGAGTTTTTTTTTTTTTAATCGAAATTATGAACGAAACAATATATATATATATATATTTTTTTAATTTGAAAAATATATTTTTATCCGCTTTTTTATTTTTTTCTTTAATTTGCTTGTAAATTTCGATAAGACCCTCAGACAAAAGTTTTTTGTATTGCATTGTTGTATAACATTTTTTCTTTACGAAATTTTTATTTACTTTTTAAAATCAAAATTGCAAAAAATTGAATACAATGTATGTACTTTATATTCTAACGTACGTTCTATTCGAGGAAAAACAAGCGATTTCTAAAAACCCGATTTCCATA